TCGTCAACCGGTTCATCCCTCTCCTGAGAAACCTGACCGGGCGCCTGGTTAACAGGTTGCGGTTCAGGGACGGTGGCGTTGGGGCCTGACCGGGTCTCGAAACTGGACAAAGAGGACCCGGTCGAAGAAGAGGAGGTTGAAGATTCCTCGGATGCGCAGGCATCCGAGGAAGAAATACCTTGACTATCAGAGGAAGACATCTACCGGGAGGAAAAATGAAGAAAGAAAGCTAATAAATGATAGGAAGAGAGCTTACTTGACTCGGAGGGCTAGGAGGCTAGAACAGAGAGAAGTTGACCGGTGAAACTCGAGAGACGCGCGGGGAAGAAGTGAGGAAGGCAGTGGGGATGGAAGCCTTTATATAGGCGAGGAGGAAGGAGAGGGAGCTGACGTGGCTTCACCAGGGTGCGTCGCGTCAGGCGGCGCCATCATTGCGCATGGGAAGACGAAAGGGCGCAGGTCTGGCGTTGTCCAGCGGGCCACACGTGTCATAACTGACACTTTGAGTTTTGAAATTCAAAAATTTCGAGCGGGAAAAGCTAGAAATTTGAACTTAAAGGTCCAGTTTTAAATTTTTACTTCCCGCTTATGACAAAATTGCATCACCGAGAAGTGGAGGGCTTATTGATGGGTGTATTTCACCCACGACCGGTCAAAGGTCAGGACCGGATAGTTGACCGGTCAAATAAGTCAAACTTTGAAGAGAGATCTGAATGAACCACCGAGTGACCAAAAAGTGGACCGGTACACTTCGGAAAGTATACCGGTCAGCTTATTCCATCAGCAAGAACCGATTCCGAAGACAATGAATCCAAGCCTTCAGAAATCAACCGGTACAACTTTTAGAGATCGAGGAATGTCGGCAGGAGGAGTCCAAAAGGACTTGGACTTTAGTGGTTGGAATTGCAGAGATCCTGGAGGAATATTTCCAAGCCAGAACGTGGCAAGGAGGGAAATCTCCTTCGCAAGATGACAAGGCGGCTCAGGGACAGTCATCTCACACCACGTCAGCGACGTGCCCCCCACGTGGGCGCACATGGACCTGTCCCCCAGCTTAGTATATATACCCCTTGTAAACCTCAGAAGGGGGATCCGAATTCATTCTCTCTAAACTCCCTTGTAAAAGCACCCGTGCATTCTCCGTTATAATATAAATTGGGCTACAGGTGTTCCACCTAAAGTCCTACCGGTCAATCTGCGAGTTTTTAGCTTTCTTACTTTGCCAAATCAAACAAAGTATTCTAGACCCGGTCTAGTATAGTTTGACCGGTCAAGTAATTTACACCATTTATGTGCATGACCATTTTATGTAATAGATTTTAAGTCTTATTTCGAAAATAAAAACATGGAAGTCATGTTTTGATATATTTTCAATGTTTTCTTCATACTTTGATCTTTCTCCCAATATTGAACTAAAAAAATATGACTAAAGAATTGAACATTATTGAACTGAACGGTCGGTACGATATTTAAGAACCGTACGAGATGATTCCTCATACCAAAAATCACGAACCAAACATATATACAAATATGTTAAATACAAAAAAAAATTATCTATTTCTTTTTAACATAATAAATTTATTCCAAAAATTTGGTTCAAAATTTATGATGTGTAAATTCTACTTTTATTTGAGTTTTAGTTTTTTACAAATAAATATAAAAATATTAACAAACATTTACAATACTCTGTATTTCTTACGAATACTCATACTCATAAAAGACATTTCATTAGATTTATTTTGCGCAAGAAATTCAAAATGTTATTTGATTAATGATATAATTTGTCCAGTTTATCAAAAAGTCAAATTAAAAATTATGCTAATGACATTTCAATGGAGAGGATCTTACGACTCTCTAAGAGCATCTTCTATTTGCCTCTTTAGCTTTTCTATTGTGTTTTTACAGCTTATTTTTCTCTATCCACTCCAACCATATCATCTATATTCACTATCAACCACCAATAAAACCTCATTTTTTTAAAAAAGTCAGGAACTGGAAATCAGATATGGTGAGAGCAACGAATAGAAAGCCCTAGCTATTTGAAGAAATTCGAGCAAGATGAAGAAGCATAAGTACTAGATCTAAAACCGAAGGAAACAGGGAACAATAAGCCCTAGGTATTTCAAAAGAAAAATGAACAGGCTCGAACAAGAAGAAGCAGCAGTAGAATCGGAAGCCATAGCTATTTGAAGATGGCGAATGAGCATAATCGGAAATCAAAGACGCAAAAGGTGCAGATGCAAGGCCGGCTTTCAAATATAGAAGACCAAACGGAACAAATAACAATCACTTTATTTTATAGCTTACCCGTTGGAGCTCGTTTTTATGTACAGTAAGGGGCTGTTTGGCAACTTCTGAATGGGTAAGTGCTGAACCAGTAAGAGGTCTGAATCATTAAGTATTGAACCAGTAAGAGGTCTGAACCATTAAGAGCTAGTATATTGCTTAACTATTCAGAGGCAAATGTCTGATCAATTCAAATAACAGCTTTTAACCATTCAGACTCTGTATAATACTTAACCATTCAGAGGCAAATCTCTTAACCATTCAGACATCTGAACCATTAAGAGGCTGAAACAAACAGTCTGAACCATTAAGTGCTGAATCATTCAGACATCTGAACCATTAAGAGGCTGAAACAAACAGCCCCTAAATGCTATATCTTTTAAATTTTACACTTTACTGAATTTTATAAGATGATCCGTTGGAGGTGCTCAAAGACTCTCTCGCCTCAACATTTTTCTATTTCACATGACTCTGCAAACTTTTAAAAAAGTAATTTGCAATTGGGTCAAGGGGAAAAATAAGAGCAAAACATTGATAATATGCCAAAATAGGAATAGAAAAGAAAACTCTACTAAATAGGAGTAATTTAAATACTCCCTATTTAACTAAATTCATTTCATAAAGCTTACAGACCTCCGTTCTCCTCATTTCGTTGCAGGTAGACACCAAAGGCACTCATTTGTAAGTGCTTTCTTGCATGGCTATGTTTTGACCAATATAGAAAAAATCAAAGAGAGAAAAAAAAGGAAAATAAACAAAAATAAGTTATTGAGTACATCCCTAAAATGAAAAAATTGGGTCCTTGCACCCGGTCGCCGTCGTACCCCGACACTGCAATCTACCCCTCGCGGTGATTTTTCACAATGCTACCAACGCCACCAATTCTGTCTCCACCACCACTGACATCATAAGGATCTCCAATCATCGCCGCCTGAGTGTCATAATGCCACAAATAACTGTAAAAAAGAATTGTATATACAAATGTCAACCGAAACAATAATGTCAAAGATTGCAATGTATATATATAACACACATGTCATTGGAAAATGTTAAATATGTCAATATATAATGTCATAAATACTGTAAAGTGTCAAGAAGTATTGTGATATGCCAACATACAATGCCAAATTTTGTACCACAATGCCAACAAAAAAAATCTAAAAAAAAATAATGGTAATAATTTACTTCACAGTATTTAAAAATTACCTAACTATTTTGGGAGTAGAAGGAAGAATGAGAGAGAAGAAAATGATTGGGAGAAGGGGACCCGATCGATCAAGATTAGTGGTGGACACGGTACGGTTCCGGTACCGCCACCCCAAGTAACCGGAAATGTTACCGTGCCGGCCGGTACCGGTTCCGGTTCCCAGACCGGTGGTTCCGGTTCCCGGACCGGCGGTTCCGGTACCGGACCAGCCGGGTTCGCCCCCCCCCCATTATTTTTTTTTGCTTTTTTTTTTTAAATTTTTAAAATATAAAATTGTAAATTTGCAATTGTTTAAGGAAAGAATGAAATAAAAAATCTAAAAATGTAGTTGTTATTTAAATATTGAAAATGAGTAATACACTAACTGAAGAACAACCACATTTAATATCCCCCCACTTTTTTTTTAACTTTTTGCAGGATTTCAAATGAACAAAAAAAAAATTTACCGGAACCGGACCGGTACCGGTACCAAAAAATAGGTACCGGAACCGGTACCGAAAGTGGCGGTACCGGTACCGGTTCCCGGAACCGGTGACACGGCAACGACGCCGGTGACGGTGGCGGGTAACGGCGGTACCGTTGCCAGTGACGGTACCGTACCGGTACCGTGTCCACCCCTAAATGTAACTAGTTCAAATGATAAAATAAAAGTAAAAATTTAAAAATATAATATGCTTATTGAAAGGTAAACATAGTATTGAATTTATTGATTTTAGTTCTAATCGAGCTCGGATATTATCGGTTTCAAATCTAATCGGTTTTAGATCTAATCGGTTTCGAATTTTATCAGTTTCGGGTATTATCGGGTCCAGATCTAATCGGTTTCGTGTTTAATCGGTTCGGATATTATCGGTTTCGGATCTAATCAGTTTCAGATTTAAATCGGATATGAATTATTTAGTTCGGTTTCGGTTCGGTTCGGATCGTTTCGGGTTTTCGGTTATAGATCGGATCTTCATTTTTCGGATCATTCTGGTTTCAGTTTCGGATATTTCGGTTCGGGTAATCGATTCCGGTTCTGTTTTGTCAGGTCTAGATATCACTACTAATTTATGGCTCTCATCATTTAGTCTACCCATTGCATTCATACATCTTCTTCTCATTTAATATTTTACAATCTCCCATATAAAATTTTGATTATTAATATCTTTATATATATATATATATATATATATATATATATATATATATATATATATATATATATATATATATATATATATATATATATATATATATATATATATTATAATACTTGAGACTCATATCTCCAAGAAGATGACTTGTATCATCTTACATGGCATTCTTAAGTGCTCATTCAATATTTATGTAAAACTAGTATTTCTACCCGTGCTATGCACGAGTTCAGACAATTTTTTTTCCAATTATACAATATGGATCTTGATTTTTATTTTGAATACTATTCCAAGGTCAAATATAAATGATCTAGGTTTGATGTATTTCTACAAATCTAAATATTTTCTCCCTGTATAAATTCAAAAATATATTAATACAAAAAGTAATAATGATCCAATGATTCTTTTTCCTCACATTAATTTAAAAAACCTAAATTACCGACATTATAATTATATACTCTCTCTATCCCTGAGTATTTGTCCACTTTTTACTTTTTTTTATCAAAATTGGTAATAAAATAATGATATTAGATATTTTACAAAATTAGTTTTATTTGATTTATTATATTATTCATTTTCAAAATATTATTTTATGTACTTCATATAATATATATATATATATATATATATATATATATATATATTATTTAATTATAAGTCAAATGTTGAAAACAGTTAATCTGAAAAAATCAAAACTGAACAAAAACTCAGGGACCAATGTAGTAATTAAAAAAAGATTCTTCTCATCCATAATTCCAACTACCCCTCACCCGCAATGATTATAAAAAATTATTATTCTTTCTTGCATTATTAAAAAACAAAATCTTAAATTAGTGATCCTAAATCTGTATGATTATAAATTTTAATTTTAAAATATTAAGAATCAATTATTCTTCTCCCTCATATTGATTTTAAAAAACATTAAAATGTTAGTGCTCCAATGATTTTGTCGAGGTAGTATTTTGTTCAAGATATAAAATGTTCTATGAAATTATAAATAGTTACAAATTCGAAATTATATTTTCTTTGATGTGGTTGTAACATGTAACTAAATCTCGAAGTTATTAGCTATTGCACCTTAGATTTTCTGTAAAATTTTTCTTACTTTTTTGATTTTTCTAATTCTTCATTGTCACAAATCTTCTCACGCTCCCCTCCATGCCTTGATCATCTTTGTCACAATCTTCTATGCATAAATCTGTGTCGTCTCATAAAATATCATCCTATGAAGAGTTTCCTCTCTTATTCAAAATTTCTTAATTTTATGTATAAACATTTTGAGGTGTAACACAATATAAGTACGTAATGAGTAAATCATAAGTTACAATATAAGATTATTTTGATTGAAATAGTAAATCAAGTTACCTAGACAAAGTATAAAAGTCTTATTAAATCTTTTTTCTAATTTGTTTATTTTAAATATTCAATATTTTAAAAATAGTCAAATTGTATGTAAATATATACTTTTATTTCATATCATAATTAATCATCTTACCATAAACAGAAGTTCTTTGTAAGATATGCATTAAGTCAATCTCATAGTATATGTATAATCCATTTGTCTAAAAATAAAGTACATAACCATGACACGTATAATTACCTTAGAAAATATAGTCTTAAGTCTTTTAATCACCTAATTATAAATTATAAATTTCTTTAATTTGAGTAATATAAAAATAGTCTTTTCGAATAACGTATATTCCAAAATCAGTGTTATTCAGCATTAATTGTCTATGTAGTGCTTTATAGTTGAGATTTATTCACTCAGTGTCCTCCGTATATGTTTGTTAATTAAATGGATGTTCGGTGGAGGATATTTAGGTATTTTCAACATTTAAATGTGGAGTAATTTTTCAGACTGACTCTTTCGGATTAACCTTTTTCTAATCTAGGTATCCATTATAATAATTATAATTTTATCCCAATTGTGCATTTAGGGGCACCTTAATGTTTTGTGTCCCTCTATTAGGCACTCATGTTCACGCTAGTAAATTTCGAATGAGGATGATCTCGCCTTCGATCCCCCACTTCATATCTATGTCGAATTTTGATAAAATTCACGTATTAAAAATGCTCGATTCATTTTTCTTTTGCAAATACTGTTTTGTTGTATATATCCCATGCGAATATTTTTTGTGTTTTTTAAAAAAGTAGAAGTTGTAGCTTCAATGAACTCAAAAGTGAAATACCTATAATTATTTTAAAATGTTTTGGAATTTTTCTTTGTGAAAACCCTTGCAACTATATTTGTTTTGCTGTTTAAAAATAAATTCATATCAAGTGAAGAAAATTTTGGATGTTTACATGTGATTATTTTTACGTGATAATTCTTTAAAATTTTATGTGAAAAATGTAACTATTATTTTAGAAGTTGATTTTATAAAAATTTTTATTAAAAAAATGAATTTTAGTTCTCACTCAATTGCATAAAATTTCATGCAGGTTCTAATTTCTTCAATAATACTCCATGTGTATTTGGATTTGATCTTCTCAATTGACTTTTCTTGTCAATTTTGTATACTTTAACCTCAATATATATAACAAACATTGTCTTTCGATAGAAATGCATTATCGAAAAATTCCTTTTGAAACCAAGGAATTTCTTAATGTTTGGTAGCTCCTATTTTGGAGATGCAAAAAAATATGCAATTTTATTTTGGTATTTTCTCCATGTTATTCCTATTCAGGTATAGAGTATTTTTTCCAAAAAATTATAGCAACACTGCACATAAGATATATACTTTATACACAACTTAAATTGGATCTACTCATATTTTGATTAAAATTGTCACGACATTCAATCATTAATAGGAGGAAGGCGATTTTTTTAAAATATAATGTTGCGATGTAGATTCGCCCCTTGTTGCAATTCTAGAAGTTTAATTCTCAAATTTAAAATATAAAGATATGTCTTTTATGAAAATACTTTCATTTAAAAAATAAAAATTTATCATTTATAAACACTGTTTATATAAAAATGAATACTTTTAAAGACTATCAATACTGTGATGTGAATTTATAGAGTATCTCAAATAAAATTTTAATCTTGATGGATTTTTTATGCTCCCTATTACATATTTAAGGAAATTTTAATTATTAAAGAAATTATTGAATACATTAAACCTCAAAGTTTTCATATTAAAAATTATCTAATATACATAAGCCCATAATGCACTAAATTTCTTTAATATATTTCTCATTTTTAATTAGTGGTATAAGATGAGCTACTCCAAAGTATATTTTAGCTTAATAAAGTTTTATACAAAATAATAAATTAATAATTCTTAAAAAACTATATTTATCTCAAAATACTTTTAATCATGATTAGTTTCTTTTTTTATGATTAATTTATTTAATTTTTGTTGAAAAATTACATTTATTTCATTTATATAATTTTCAATAAATTCTAAAGTCCATAAGTTTTTAATATAACATATATTTTTTTAAACTCATCATATTTTAAAGGTTATTATAAATAAATTTCCATAAATGATGAATGAGTTTTTAAACCATGCCATGTAATTTATTCATATGCCATGTCATTTAAAAATTGCTATGTAAGATGACACATGTCAACCTTTTGGAGACATTAGTCTCAAATACGAAGTATTATATTAAAGGATAAAGATTAAATTTAGTCAATGATGTTGCAATTGTAAAGAAAGTTAGCTTGAAAATAGCATTTCATGGTGACACAATTTTTTTAATCAATTTTATTATATAATAGAAGATAATTAAACATAATATATTTTTTAATTTATATAATAAATCATCTCAGGACTATAAACACAAATTTTCTTGTGATAAATCAAATCAGATAAAATATATTCTAACTATGGAGTTATGTATAATATATTCTTCTAATTTTACACAATTATAGTTCAATAATCTATTGTTTTTAAATTTTATTTAAAGTAAATTTTATGAAAATTTACTTTAGTGTAGTTTTAAAATTAATTAAAAGTGTAATTATAAATGAAGAGTAAAAAAAATTAATTGGGAAAGAATACTACTCTGTATTATAAAAAATGAATTTTCCTATTGCATAATTAAATTTATTCAAAGATTTCTTACCATAATGATAATTTCACATTTTATACATCCTAAATTAGATGGAATATTAGGTGTCAAAACAAATTCAATTTTTTTATAGGTGACGAAATATTTTATATATTAGGTGTTAATATTTAAATAAATATTATCAAACTAACTTCATTTATTTAGATGTATCATAAAGAAATATAAAATTTATTTCAAAAACAAAAACCTCACAAAATTCACTCTCCTTTTTTATATATATAAAGAATTATATTTTTAAAATTGAAAAAAAAAATTTATACAATCTTTTTTTAATTATGAAATATTATAAAAGATTATGTGAACTTGTAACAAAAATCACCCTTGCTTGGATGACTGGAAACTCAACCAAATGTCTAAGGGGGTTTGGGTTCAAACTGCCATAAAGGCATGTTTTGAAGAAAAAAACGCAAGAAAAAAAACTTGGGAACTGGTTTGACTAGACGAGTCTCAAGTATTATAGTAAAGAATTATTAATGATAACCTTTAAAATAAGATGAGTTTAAATAATATATTTTATGTTGAAATTTTATGGGCACTTGAATTTATTGAAAATTATGTAAATGAAAAAAAATATAATTTTTCAAAAAAAAATTAAATAAATTAGTCATAAAAAAGAAAATAATCATGATATCAAGTGCTTCATTCATTGGTAAAAGACCTCTTAACACACACCATAAACACACCTTCTGAAAAAATTGCGTATGAAGGCATGTGGGAGATTGCTCATGAAAAAAATTATTTATACGGAGAATATTACTCATGAGTCATGATGTGATGCTAATTTTGAGAAAAAAAATCCTTTTCTTTGAAAATAGGAGTATAGGACTTATTTATTTAATGTAAGAGAAGATTAAGTGGAAAGGAGTAAGTATATAGGTGGGGCTCTAAATGGATAACTGAAAATTCGATTACCATCAAAATCCGCATTTTTTTATATGAAAAATATCCGCATTCGTTAAATGCGGTTATTATCCGTGTCCGAGTAAGGATATCCGATTGCAAAAGAAATGCAGATTTGGTAATTACACATCCGATCCGTTTACAATCCGTTCCGCATTGACATCCGTTTAAATAACCATTTTTCCATGTATCCGATTCGTTATATATAGTTTTTCTAATTTTTAATTTTTATATTTTGTTTCTCAATTGATATCTCTAAGTATAAGAAATTTTTATATGCAAAAATATATGTGTAGACATATAAAATATGTGTATATATGTACTGTGTATATCTGTCCATAATATAAAGCTATCGTAGAATATCATAGATCATAAAAAATCAGAAAATAATTATCCCAATAAAATTTATAGTTGATTTAATAATATTTTGATTTAGTTTAATTAAAAGTTAAAGTATTGTTTAATTTGGTTTAAAAAATTGGAAATGGATACGGATATATCCAACATCCGTCGAATGCGATCCGGTTATGATTTTCAGTATTCGTCAAAATTCATATCCGAATTTGATATTCAACAAAAATAGACGGATACAGATTTGGTAACTGCTGGGAGGGACATACTATTAATTTTCCTCTCCATATGTGATTCGCTTCCGCTCTTCTCTCGCCAAACCCCTCTCACCCTCATCTTCTCTTCCACACAAAACTTGTCACGCACAATCAGATTTCTTTTCTTTCTCGATTTAATTTTAATCTGTCAAAAGGTATGTTTCTTCTTCCCTCTCCGATCTACTTTCATACTCTTCTTTTCACCAATTTTAGGGATTTTATTAAAAAATTTTGGTCCATGTTTTTTTTCATCAGATTTTGATTTTGATTTTTCATTCATACGGATTTTTCTTCCCAAGTGAGATCTACGATTTTTTATTTTTCTTTGATTTCCTAACAAAGGTGTTACAAATCTTTTTTATTTCATAAAAGAATAGTTACAGAGTTGTTTTAAAATCTGTATCTTTATTCCATACAAAAAATTTTTTCCATCACATTTTGATTTTGTTTTTTCACTCATATAGATTTTTATCCTGACATTATTTTTTAAAAAATTCATGCTTCTTATAGAATGTGTTAAACTAAAATCATATACCTGCATTTTCTTTCGTAGTTGCTCACCAAACAACAATGATTGATTGTGAATTGGTTTCATTTTTTTTTGTCCAAACACTTTCCTTTTTCCATATTTCATGAGCCATATGTATTGTTTTTTGGTACGGGTATTTCAGAACTCACACCTTATCAAAAACGGAGAAAGAAAACAAGAGAAAAACGAGGCAATGAAAGAAATTGGAGAAATCAGAAGAGAGACAATGGAAGGAGGAGATAAGAAGGCAGAGGTGATTCTGGTGCGCACATTGGCTGCAGATGTGCCGAAACTGTATAATAAAAATGGCGTACGCTGTCGGCGTGTACGATTTAACCAGGTGGATCTGAGTGAAGGTAAAATAAAGAGCAATTGCTTTCCTCCAATGTTGAATTGGTTTTGCGATGGTGCTATGGTGCGTTCGGACAGTGGTTCAGTGGTTTACCTTATAGGCGGTCTGTCCAGCAGAGATGAGCTAACATGTGAACCAATAGATGGAGCCAGTTCTGATGATGTGTACTACAAATGTGGCTGTCGGTTGGACTTGCAGAAAGAAGAGGAAGGTGCTATGGTGTGGGAGCAGATTGATCTTCCTATCAAAAATTGCTATATTCCCTTTTGCGCATCGCTGTTCGGAAAGCTTTATGAGTTTGGATTTCGCTACCTCCACACTCCCGAGGTTTTTGATCCGAGTGTCGGATTTTGGAAGGAGTTGTCCCCGTTGCCTCCTGAGCTTGTCGGTTGCCGAGTTTCAGATGGAGGAGTTATCTCCGACCCTCAGAATTCCCGTTTTCTTGTGCACCTCTATGATGGCACCCTGTATGCTTTCTACCCCGGTTCTGGTGAGTGGGAGCGTAATGGGAGTCTGTTTCACTGGAGGTATCGTAATGTAGTTCTCGTAGACAATGTCTTGTACATTCATGACTTCAAGTCCCGGGGTTTCCTCTATGCCTATGATGTTGCGAGGCGCCAAGAGCTCAAGGTTACTTGGTCCTCAAAGAAGTATGAATACAGCAATGGTTATCGTGTTAAAGTGACCAAGTATGAGTTTGATGCTATGTTTTATGTTGGCGGTGGCCATTTCTGGATGGCTACTTGGTCTCCTTGTGATGGAGATGAAGGAACCACCAGTAGTGCTTCTACTATGTTCTTCAAGTTCAAAGTTGATCGCCCCAACAATGGTCTCAACGTCGTTTGCACTCCCGTTGATGTCCAATGCCATGATATCCCGAACACCATCGAAGTTACAGGGTTCCTACTGCTCTAGGTTCATATATTCTGCAACTCTCTTTCTCTTCATTTAAACGGAATGTTTCCCATGCATGACGTGATGCTAACACTATGTTTGGCTCAAGGAATTTGAAAGGGAAAAGAAAAGAAAATGAAGTGGAAAACCATTTTTCTTGTTTGGTTAGAGGGGAAAAGAAAGGAAAAGAAAATGAGGAGGCAAAATGTACCAAGTGGAGAGAAAATCAAATTCCTTCCATTTTGGGTGAGGAAAATGAGAGTAAACCATTTTCTTTTCTTTTCCTTCCAAAATCCTTGAGCCAAACATAGTGTAAATGCTATTCATATGATTCTTCTTGTCCACTTTAAGCTCCTTTTGTTGAAACTCGTGGATTTTTGCTATCTTTTGTGGTCCCCTGTTGAAAAGTGTTTTCGGTTAAGTGTATTAGAAGCGAGATCACACGCACACAAGTAATCAGTAGGTTTTGTAGGACTGTAGAAGTAGTGACAAAACATGTTAGCTTGGGTTTATTTGTGGCCCATAAACTCAACTTGTTTTACTCATTCCTGTTGAAGTGATTAATTTAGTATTGGCCGGAAGAGAGTTGCGTAAGTGGGATAGACTGTAGAGGCGAGTGGAAACTGCGGGAAAGTATGTACATGATGAATAATGGCATGTTACAACCTAATTGGTGGATTTATACGTTGTTGCCACAATTTCGTCCAAGGGGTCATTAATGTGTAATATTGGAATTGAATTTAGAAAATGCTGAGGTTGGTTGTTGAGAGCCATAGCGGTTCAGTAGTATCCCTTTTGAAGTGATTAAATTTAGTATTGGCCGGAAGAGAGTTGCACAAGTGTGATAGATCATGGAGGCGAGTAGGAACTACTAGAAAGTCCATACATGGTGAATAATGGCATGCTCCAACCTAATTGGTGAATTTACTTTGTTGACACAATTACATCTAAATGAGGATGATACCCTTTCCGGTTTTGACTTTTAAAAGATACAAGGATATTTATTTTGGTGTTGACCTTTCGAAAACATCAAAATGAGGATTCATTTTTTTCTCCTCTACATCTAAAAGTGTTCAATCTTTTATCTTTGCAGGAGGCAAGCAATTGATTGTGGGGTGCTTCCCATTAAGGTTATTGAATGGTTGTCATGTCATCTTTGGTTGACAAATAAAATATGCTNAGCCGGTCCGATCTGGGTTCAATAACATTGCTTGAAAATAAAATGCACAGGTCGTAAATGGGCAACACAAATGAGCACTGTGTTTTGACCTGATCAAAGTACGGGCCAGATCGAATTTTAGTGTACCGACTATCATTAAAACATTTTGCATATTACTGTTGTGCTAAACCTTTTCTAAGCAGAGAAGAAAACATTGAAACAACATGCACTGCTTGCATATTAATTGAAACAGTTTGCATATTATGTTGGTTTTATGTTGTTTGAGCTTTTATACTCTTTCCCTCCCCATTTTGATTAAATTGATTCATAGTGTTTGTGCCTCACATTCTTTCTTTATATTTTAAAATCAATACCGGTCCTATAATTTTTCATTGTTCAGTTGTGTGTCACGAATCCATGTAACAAAAGTAAGGAGATAAATAAATAAAAACTTTTACGGAGTATTAGTCTTAGTCGAAAGACAAGTGATCCAATTCAGTCACGCAAAAACTTTCGGTACTTCGGTTTTAGTATGTGTGAAAAAAGAGTTTGAACAACTTTTTTTTTCTTGGTGAGTCTTTTTTAGTTTTATAAAAGTCAAATTAAAAGCTTTTATGCAACGGAAGAAGTATTTAATATACATCCAACACATGCAGATTCAAGAATTATGAAATATTAATCTCACAAAATTATTATATTGATGTGTTAAAATTTATTCATTTCTTTTTTACATATGTTTAGAACGTGCAGATTTTAGAAAAAAAACACACATCACATAAACATGACTTAGTTACACACATCACATAAAGCAGTGATGAGACCTCAAACCATTGACAACTTTTAAACAATAAATCAACAAAGTTGAAATAAACTTACGAAAAAATTTAATTTTGTTTTATATTAACCTCAAAATTCTAAATATATTCTAATATGTAGTGTTAAAGCAGCCAAAGATTCTCAAAATTGAACAGACTATCCACGTACACAGCTCCGGCTATGGATTCTACAATGTCGGCAAGAACTTTGGAAGCTTTGATAGCTCTGCCATAAAACTAGGCCTCGTCCTCTTCTTGGACCGTCATCACAAACTCCGTGACTTTTTCATCAATGGCAGAAGAACTGTGTTGGAAATGTTAAGAATTTCATGGGCAACATGGCTCTAGGAATGGTCGTCTCGAATTTCATCTTCTTAACCTATCCATGCCTTGACCCGGCCAACTCTCCCTTCTGCGCTTCGTCAACATCAGCACCGAGAAGCTCGCTCGAGTAGCAGTTGATAATGACCTCTTTAGGCATTTCCGACACAGTTCTTTTGCCATTGATGAAAAGGTCACGGAGTTTGTGATGACGGTCCAAGAAGAGGACGAGACCTAGTTTTATGGCGGAGCTATCAAAGCTCTCAAAGTTCGTACCGACATTGTAGAGTCCATAGCCGGAGCCGTGAACGTGGATAGTCGGTTCAATTTGGAGAATCTTTGGCTGCTTTAACATGGTATCAGAGCCATGCTTTATTGGCGTTATCATTTCCGATTCAATCTGAATTTGTCAAAACTCGATTCCATTTCTCAGTCCAAATCAAAATCTTATTCGAAGGCATGGCGAAAACAGTGACTCATTCTTCAATCGGTCCACAGAGCGAGCCGTATCTACATCCAACGAAGACGCCTAATTTCTCTCTTGCATCTCAGAAGTTGAATGGCGACAACTATGCACAATGGAAACGATCGGGTGAGATTGCTCTGAGTGCGAGAAACAAGCTTGGATTTGTGGATGGGAGCTCGAAGGCACCAGAATCAAATTCTCCTTTGCTCAATCAGTAGAAGCGATGCAATAATCTGGTAATTTCTTGGATTTTGCACTCAGTTGAGCCTGAAATTGCAAGTAGCATTTTGTATTATGATACTGCACATGAGATATGGGAGGATATATATAAAATAGCATACTCACTTCGAGATGGAGGTGGGGGCAAACCATTAGGGAACTTAACCTGAATCATTTAAAGAAAATTTAAATGAAGATCAATTCATAAACATGACTTACACACATCACATAAATCAACAAAGTTGAAATAAACTTACGAAAAAATTTAATTTTGTTTTATATTAACCTCAAAATTCTAAATATATTCTAATATGTAGTGTTAAAGCAGCCAAAGATTCTCAAAATTGAACAGACTATCCACGTACACAGCTCCGGCTATGGATTCTACAATGTCGGCAAGAACTTTGGGAGCTTTGATAGCTCTGCCATAAAACTAGGCCTCGTCCTCTTCTCGGACCGTCATCACAAACTCCGTGACTTTTTCATCAATGGCAGAAGAACTGTGTTGGAAATGTTAAGAATTTCATGGGCAACATGGCTCTAGGAATGGTCGTCTCGAATTTCATCTTCTTAACCTATCACAAAATTATTATATTGATGTGTTAAAATTTATTTCTTTCTTTTTTACATATGTTTAGAACGTGCAGATTTTAGAAAAAAAACACATCCAAAACAAAGGGTTAGGTAATGAGAGAATAGTGTGCACAATTATTTTGGTAAAAGTTTTAAAACAAAATTTGTGGTCAAAATTAAAGATAATATACGTTGACTCTATAACGATAACAAAAATTTTTCTAGAATGCGCAACTTATTAATAAAATCTGACATTAAATAAGAAAAAAGTTATGTTATTGATATAAGAAGAAGAAGAAGGAGAAAGTATATTAAGATGATATTTTCTCAATCCTTATTGGAAGAAGCAAGAACAGGAAACTCGGGGGAAAAAAGTTGGAAAAACAGGAACAAAATGGCTCTTCATATTACTTTTTCATATGAAAATATACATGTGTTTTTATGGACAAAATGCGCCACAAAGAGCTTGGTTGTCAAATACCCTACAAAAAGTGCCCTTTGTTTGAATTTGATTCAGATTGTTGATCTGGTTCAGTGTCTACATGCAATCCATCTACGGGGGTTAAGATTTGGGTTGAGGATGGACAAAGATCAGTCTTCAATTCGACAAAACATGCACTGCGAAAGCTTTGCTGGTTCTCATGCTTCTCAATTTGTGTTTTGCACTCCCCGAACACCGAGTCCTAAGATGTGCTGCTCGCGAGATGTCCTCCTGAATACTGTTCACCGTTCATAATAATATGAAATTGCTTTCTCAAAAACAAAAAAATGAAGGAGCATTTTACTCAGATCTTTTGCTTACCATTACTGCTAAAAGGGAAACTAGAAATCTCCTTCAAGCAACCAACATTAATAGATCTAATAAAAAGACAGCAGACGAATGCAATTAAATTGTTGCAGTGACTCAATAATAAAAAATATTTAAAAAGAAAAAAAAAGGAGAAGATAAAGTTGAATTTATTTACCTGGAGTCTACACAGAAGCACACAGTTTCAAACATAACCGTGTAATAATCAGGAAAGAAGTGATCCAAATCTGCTTCAATATCAGTATCGGCAAATGAATCCCTGAACTGAAGATCAAACGAAAACATAACCCAACAAGTAAAATAAAGGCAGTAGAGTGAGTAAATAAATGAACTGACAACATAGTTTTAAAAAAAATTGTAGCACCAAAGTGTTATCCACTACTGTAGAAACTAACTACTGTAATAACTAAAAAAAACAGTTTGGGTGGGAGGGAGATTGCAAAAACCAGATGAAAGAAAAAACAAAGAACACCGAGTTACTTACCTTTCTTCCATGACACTCTTCATCCTTACTTGTCCGATATTCCATATCATTTATATGCTTATAAACTGCCCCAACAAACCTAACCACATCATATGCTTCCTTATAAGGTTTAAGCTTATAGAAACCGGATGGCGCTTGTTTCATAAGCTCTTGCCCTTTCTCCTCATTGTTACCTTTCTCCGCTTTTTCCCAAAGTTCATCATATGGACCAGACAATCTCTTCCACCATTTCTGGTAAGACCCACCGGTTACTTTTAAAAAAGCTGAAGGAAAAAAGACTTCCCAACCATCCCTCTTTGATATCCTGCTGAGCTTATATACAAAATTGACACGGTGGGGTACATGCCAAAAGTAGGGATGATCTAGCCAAAAGTATGGAGGTACACCCCTGAAAAGTAAAAAGTCAGGACCAAAGTTGGTAAATATTTAGCCTTTTACGCATTTGTTATCAATAAACCATAATAATGTTTTATGCAACTACTATAATAATGTTTTATGCAACTAGTGATTGATGCTACAATGATATGTTGGGTTTTGGTCTCACTTCCTATGTGGAGGCCCAAGTAAAGCCCAATCATATACAAGCTCATTCTTTGATGAAATAAGAGGTTAACAAGAGGCTGAGTTAGGGTGGAGTGCAGAAAAAACGAGAGAGAGAGAGAGAGAGAGAGAGAGCAGAAAAATCAAGAGAGAAGGAAGCTGTTCATTTTCGGATTTCTGTGCGCGGCGTTTTTCAGACTGCTGTTTGGAGGGTCAAACGGTGCCCGATTGTTCTGAAATTTTAGGGGCAGGTTCAGGACACATTGAACTTGATTTCCACCGGTCAGTTTTGGATTTGAAGGTCTGCAGGCAGAGATATTTGCATCTAAACAGAGGCAGTATTTTCTGGTTTTTCTGCGTATTCTCTAGTTGTTTGCTCCTTGTTGTGGCAGTATATTTGCAGTATGTTTATACTGATTTGAGCCCTTGTTTGAGACACTCTTGTATTCTATTTCTGGTCATAGTGGAGCTTTCTTGGTGGTCTTTGTGACCCATGGTTTTTACCCTCGATTTGAGGGGTTTTCCACGAGAAAATTCTGGTGCATCGTGTCTTTATTGTTTGTGCTTATTTGCTATTATCTTGTTGCTGTTTTTTATCCTCTTACTCTTGCAAGTGGGGAATTTGTATTTGGTGTGGTTGTATTCTCTTCAAAGTTCCCATCATGATAGACTTCTAAAAAGAAAAATCTAAATTAAAACTAATGAAAACAAACAAAAGTAACTTACGGCTTGTACTTGCAAGTAAAATTGAAGAAATGCACCAACTCTGAAGGCAAATTCACCGCTAGGTCTGCATCTTCGGTCTTCTTGACTTCATCAATGAATGGGAAGGTAATGACACGCTTCATAAGGCTTGTCAACTCCTTTGCATCATCTTCAACATCCTTTGAGCTATAGCCCTTCTCTTCATTGTTATCCATCGAAGGCAATATACGCCCCTCGCCATTGTCTGTAACAAAAGTGTTGAAAGCTATGTGGCCACACCCACGTTGACAATTGAAGTATAAGTGTAAAAGGCCTTGAACCACGTTCCTGCAAAAATGTAAAAGCAAAGGTAAACAGTATGTTATTAACAAAACTTGAGCTAATGATATTAGAAAACAAAATGCATAACAGCTTGAGCAAACAACACAATCCATCACCCAAGATAGTAATAGTATGTACAAAACCTAGGAGACCGGATTTACTAGATGTGCCTAGAGATCCAAAAGATATAGATGCCATAGTTGTAAAATAAATCACCAAATCATACACGGAAGAATAAAAAAGAGCAGCCCCAATTGATTGTAGGATTAGCACAAGAATGTCAGATTCACAAGTCACAACTTAGTTTGTTTTTATTAAAAAAACCAACAGTACCCAAAAGGTCAATGTCACGTCAATCGAAATCATAAATCTGAAAACTTACCTAAACATGCACCGAAACTCATGTTCAATGAACTGCCACCATATTTCGATTGTGAGGGGGGTATGCACCGTCGATTCCAAACAAGAGAGCTTTCTCTTAAAGTACTCCTCAATGGTACTTACTCGTTCCGTAAGTAAATGAGGGCCTTCAATGTGTGCACTGTCATCGCGTGCTACATGGAAGATGGTCAACAGGTTCCTATGTGAAGCACATAACTGCCTGAGGCTCTCAAACAGAAGAAGTTGCTTGCCACTAGGCTTCACCAAAGACATCCCTATTTCCTTGCCCAGGCCAAGCATCTCCACCCTCTCACAAGAATCTATAATGCCATCAAAATGGGTGAAGGAATAAACATTTTCAAACTTCTTCCCGAATAAGTCTTCCTCATTCTTCGATCCGTGAAAGACTTCCTCCACCTCGGTATCTTCCCTTTTATCTAAACTCTTTGCATCCATCTCTTGTGATCCCTTGTCACCTTTTATGGCGGCTTGTTCCTTCTTGGAGAGTCTTTTTTTCTGTCTTTGATTTTTCTTCTGTGCTCTCTCTCCAGGTTCTTGTGCCATTATCTCTTCGGCAAGTTTCTCCCTCGCTGCATTGGATTCACTGGTCCATTGTTCTAGGGTTTCCTTATGTGCCTTCTTCCACTCCTCAGATGAACCCGGGTGATTGCATGCAAACATGTATGTGTTAATGGCAGCATCCAGGTAATCAGGACCCTTCCGATAAAAGCCCTCACTGCAGCATAAAATAAAAAATAAACAGCCCCATACAGTGTGCAATAAAAAAGTACGCATAAAGAGGAAGTAGGGAGAAGCAGGTGTAACAACTTACGCTAATATAGACACAATTTCTTCGAAATTCACCACTCTATGAAGTGAACGGTCTCCGCGTAATATAATGGAATCGGTTGCATGTTGGAACGCAACTGGGAAAAAAACAAATTATCAATAATTATCACGAAACATGTGCCACTAAAGCTGAAATTTCATGACATGTTTGCGAAATTCATTCCGTAAGGGCATATATCGTATCATGTCAGAAATATTACGCAAGAAAAGGTAATTGTTAAACAAAAAGAACTTTGGCAAAACACAAATCATATCAGAAATTAATTACACAAGAAAGAGAGATTAAAAGGAGGAGAGGAATGAGATAAGTGTACCGTCAGGATCCTGATCGAGACGGGCAGCAATTATGGCTTTCCATTCTAGAAGCACCGCGAGATGTTCGCACGGAGTGGGTTCGGGCAATTGATTGCGTTGAATTTGTACCCTTTCGGATTGGTATCTCTCCAATGTCGAGAGATGCCCACCCCTCTCGATTAGCCTATCAACTAACTCTCCAGCCTTAGCATAATCCGCATTCTCTCGTTGAAGCAAACTCTTCATCATATCTTGAACACCTTTAGCCTTTTGCGCATCAGATGGAGCACTTGATGGAGACGCCATAGCCACGGACACAAAAACTGCAAACGAAAAAAAAGGATCAAGTAACAAGCCAGCAAACCATATGTCTTGCAACCGCTTCTACACTATGATACAGAAAACGCAAAAAAGGGAAAACAAATTCCATGTAGAGATGTGGACAGAGTGTTATTGTAGTTTTTTTCACTAGTAAACTGTAAACGAGTTTCCAAATTTCTCAGGGAATATGACTTTTTTTTCCAGTAATAAATGAATATTCATCAATTCTAGATGAAGGCAAGAAGAAACAAACCTGCAGACATTAAACTAAGTACTCTTAGAATAAGGGAACACATATTTCGGTCACACTGCATAAATTTATCTTACGGCGTTAGAATCCCAAGGGTGTTAGAATTACACGGGATTTGTTGTTGCATAAGTTTCAATAACACAATTTTGCCTTTTTAAGTATAGGGGCTGGGGAAAGATAATTGGAAGCATAATAATCAAATAATTAATAGAGTAAAAAAATTGAGATGACATTGGGGATTTGGGAGTACATACAGGAACTTTCGTAGTCTTGGCTAAGAACTTCCCACGGAAACGGCAACGGTGGCCTATTGGTCGATGACGGTGACTGAGAACAAGTGGCGAGGCAGAGCCGCAGAAAACTGAGAAGAAGTGAAGAATTGATGAATGACGATAGTGACGAGGGAGGATAGGGTTTTTCGGTTTTGTAAGTTTGTGGACTTGTGGTGACGGTGGTTCAGGGGCCGAGGAGAGGGGAGCTCGGTGATGCAGTGGCGGCTGCGGCTGCGGCTGCGGCGAAGGGGGGTAATTACAGTAGGGAAATTTTTCGCTCGGCACTCTCTATTTTGTACTCCACTGAATAACTGATAAGGGCGGCGGGAGTTCTTATTTAGAAAAAAGGGGAATCTAACGTTAACTTTTCCTAACCTAATTAGGATGAGGATTGGATATCCGTGGCAATCGAATTAACCGGATCGGTTTTGGTTTGGATATTTTTCGTTCGTTTCGGTTCGAATCAGTTAAATTTTGATTCGGATTTGATTTCGGTTCTATACGTTTTTCGGTTCGGATTTGATTTTGGACTACAAATTATGAAAACATATATATCTAATTATGATATAAATTTAATATAATTAAATTGATTTTAAAATTTAGTTTTGGAATATAAAAATTTTCTCACACCTACTAATATACTTATGTATATAAATGAAAGGATAAAAGATAAATTCAAATAGTCTTATGTTCCATTTGAATAGAATTTGGTAAAAGTTGAGTAAAATTTGGTGAAATTAAGTGAATTTTATTCAATTGAGTGCAAAATTTGTAAATTGTTGAGTATATTTGGTTGAAAATAGAGAAAATTAAATTTAATAGAGTCAAATATAATTAATTTTACACATAAATGTAATGGTGTAGATCAAATTTGAAAATGATAACTGTAAAGGCTGCCGCTAGAGAGTCTTTTCAAAATGTTAGCACTAGCAATTACTTTTATTGACTAATATTGAGTGAATTGGTTTGAAACTAATCAAATTAACTCTCAAATTAATAAAATTTATTGTAATGAGATAAAATTAGGATAAAATCTAATTATTCCATACAATTTATCATATATATATTCCTTTCGTCTCAAAAAGAATATCACACTTTACTATTTAAAAATTACGAAAATTTTATTTATTTGTGCGTTATCATTTATATGTATAACTTATCTTTAATGTCTACATATAATAAATTTAAGGCATAAAATTTGTATTTTTTTCAAGAAGATAATCCATTTTATGAGGGAAGGAGCAAGTAATGTAACTAGTTCAAATGGTAAAATAAAAGTAAAAATTTAAAAATATAATATGCTTATTGAAAGGTAAACATAGTTCTGAATTTATTGATTTTAGTTCTAATCGAGTTCGGATATTATCGGTTTCAGATCTAATCGGTTTAGATCTAATCAGTTTCGAATTTTATCAGTTTCGGGTATTATCGGGTCCAGATCTAATCGGTTTCGTGTTTAATCGGTTCAGATATTATCGGTTTCGGATATAATCGGTTTCAGATTTAAATCGGATATGAATTATTTAGTTCGGTTTCGGTTCGGTTCGGATCATTTCGCGTTTTCAATTATAGATCGGATCTTCATTTTTCGGATCATTTTGGTTTCAGTTTCGGATATTTCGGTTCGGGGAATCGGTTCCGGTTCTGTTTTGTCAGGTCTAGATATCACTACTAATTTATGGCTCTCATCATTTAGTCTACCCATTGCATTCATATATCTTCTTCTCATTTAATATTTTACAATCTCCCATATAAAATTTTGATTATTAATATCTTTATATATATATATATATATATATATATATATATATATATATATATATATATATATCTTTATTTATTTATTATAATACTTGAGACTCATATCTCCAAGAAGTTGACATGTATCATCTTACATGGCATTCTTAAATGCTCATTCAATATTTATGTAAAACTAGTATTTCTACCCGTGCTATGCACGAGTTCGGACAATTTTTTTTTCCAATTATACAATATGGATCTTGATTTTTATTTTGAATACTATTCCAAGGTCAAATATAAATGATCTAGGTTTGCTGTATTTCTACAAATCTAAATATTTTCTCCCTGTATAAATTCAAAAATATATTAATACAAAAAGTAATAATGATCCAATGATTCTTTTTCCTCACATTAATTTAAAAAACCTAAATTACCGACATTATAATTATATAAGTTTTGAGTAGAAGTCATTGATCGTTTCTCTCAAACGGTTAAGTCTTTCAGAGAGTAAGGCTCTGATACCAATTGTTAGAATAAAGGCCCAACGCTAGAGGGGAGGTAAATAGCGTTTAAAACAAAATCGCAGGAAATTAAAACGAGAGCGTTAAAGTAAAGAGCGTAAAGAAGGAGCACACCGGATTTTATCCTGGTTCACCACAACGTGTGGCTAATCCAGCCCCCCGAGAGACTCTCTCGAGCTACACTAACTCCGTTAAGCTTGAGGATGCTTAACAAACCAATACAACTTGAGAACTCGAGTCACACGAGTCTCAACACCTTTGCTTGGAGATACCGCACTCCAAGACTTCTCACGAAGGAACAAGTAATTTCCTTCGAATTTACAACAAGGGAACAACCTCCCTTAAAGTGTATGAAAACACTTAAACACTCAGGAATAAAACTCTCACAAAAGTAGATATGAGTCAACTAGTAAACACTCAAAAACACGACAATTTCTTCAAGAATTGGCTCTCAAATAGCTAATAAAAATAGAAATGCTTATGCAATGAATAAGTATTGAAATGTTGAAGAATTGTGTGTTAAAAGAGAGGATTTGGGTGCCATTTTATAGCCCAAAATAGGATAAAACCGTTGCTAGAGTTTCCAACAGGATGAAAACAAATTTTTCAGAGACACAGGGTGATAGTCGATTGTCAGGTCTTGATAATCGATTATCCAAAGATTCTCTGTCCAAAAATTTAAAATTCTATCCGTTGGAGGACAACGGTAACCCAGATAATCGATTGTCAACAAGTAATAATCGATTATTGGTCCTCTCTGAAGATTCTGGGTTTTGGCTGCAAAGGCTGATAATCGATTATTGAAAAGCTGATAATCGATTATTGCGTGCTTCAGAACTTGGAAGTTCAAAGCTGCAGAGGCTGATAGTCGATTGTCACTAAGGTGAGAATCGATTATCACCCAGCTAAAGTCTAGCCAGCTGAAACCCGTTTTGAAAAACCGAGGTCCAAAAACGAAGTGTTCCCAAAAGTAAAAACCAAGTTTGAAAAACATTGTATATGGTATAAAATAGTGAAAACAAAACTTGTTTGGTAAAAACCAAGTCCTCAAAGTCGTAAATCACGTGCGTTAACTTTTCCTAACCTAATTAGGATTAGGATTGGATATCGGTGGCAATCAAATTAACCGGATCGGTTTTGGTTTGGATATTTTTCGGTTATATGTTCGTTTCGGTTCGAATCAGTTAAATTTCGATTCAGATTTGATTTCGGTTCTATACGTTTTTCGGTTCGGTTCGATTTCGAGTCGGTTCAGATACGGTTCGGTTATAAATCGATTCGGATACATTTTGAGTTGGATATATTTCGGTTTCGGGTCTAGTTCGGTTCGGATATATTTTGGTTTCGGATCAAATATATTTTGAATATATATTGTTTTCTAATCTTCCCCTTTTGACTTTTTAGTCATATTTTACAAATTTGGACTATAAATTATGAAAACATATATATCTAATTATGATATAAATTTAATATAATTAAATTGATTTTAAAATTTAGTTTTGGAATATAAAAATTTTTCTCACATCTACTAATATACTTATGTATATAAATGAAAGGATAAAAGATAAATTCAAATAGTCTTATGTTCCATTTGAATAGAATTTGGTAAAAATTGAGTAAAATTTGGTGAAATTAAGTGAATTTTATTCAATTGAGTGCAAAATTTGTAAATTATTGTTGAGTATATTTGGTTTAAAATAGAGAAAATTAAATTTAATAGAGTCAAATATAATTAATTTTACACATAAATGTAATGGTGTAGATCAAATTTGAAAATGATAACAGTAAAGGCTGCCGCTAGAGAGTCTTTTCAAAGTGTTAGCACTAGCATTTAATTTTATTGACTAATATTGAGTCAATTGGTTTGAAACTAATCAAATTAACTCTCAAATCAATAAAATTTATTGTAATGAGATGAAATTAGGATAAAATCTAATTATTCCATACAATTTATCATATATATATTCCTTTCGTCTCAAAAATAATATCACACTTTACTATTTAAAAATTACGGAAATTTTATGTGTTTGTGCGTTATCATTTATATGTATAACTTATCTTTAATGTCTACATATAATAAATTTAAGACATAAAATTTGTATTTTTTTCAAGAAGATAATCCATTTTATGAGAGAAGGAGCAAGTAATGTAACTAGTGGTGGACACGGTACGGTTCCGGGACGGTTCCGGTTCCGGTACCGCCACCCCATGTAACCGGAAATGTTACCATGCCGGCCGGTACCGGTTCCGGTTCCCGGACCGGCGGTTCCGGTACCGGACCGGCCGGGTTCGCCCCCCCCCCCCCCCTATTTTTTTTGCTTTTTTTTTAAATTTTTAAAGTATAAAATTGTAAATTTGCAATTGTTTAAGGAAAGAATGAAATAAAAAATCTAAAAATGTAGTTGTTATTTAAATATTGAAAATGAGTAATACACTAACTGAAGAACAATCACATTTAATATCCCCCTGCTTTTTTTTAACTTTTTGCAGGATTTCAAATGAAAAAAAAAATTACCGGTACCGCCGGTACCGGTACCAAAAAATAGGTACCGGAACCGGTACCGGTTCCCGGAACCGGTGACACGGCGACGACGCCGGTGATGGTGGCGGGTACCGGCGGTACCGTTGCTGGTGACGGTACCGTACCGGTACCGTGTCCACCCCTAATCAAGATAGGAGGAGGGGGGGTATTTATTAATTACTCCTATTTTGGGCATATAAGTTAGAGACTCCTATTTTGAGGATATGTTTCATGATTTACTCGTATTTAGGAGGTTTTCTTTTTGCAATTCACATACTTTTATATACTATATCACATCAATATTTTA